TCCAGAAGACGACAGGTTTGTCACTCGTGAACAGGGATTTGCGTTATTCATAGCTTCGCGCACTCATTATCGCATATAATTGTCTCCACAACTCATTCATAATAATAATAATACTTTTACTCTTTATATGATATTTGATTCATGCTTTTAATGCCTACCATTCCCTGTGAGGCCAAAGAGCACTGGTATATGCGAGCCATAGCTTGTCTGAGCAAATTATCCGAACAACCCTTTTTCAAAATTAGATTTATCTATTCCTGTATACAAACTCAACGGTGTTTTCCCATAATATTAATATTTAAATTTATCTTTCATTCCCTGAAAAACATTTCGTTCAATGATTTATAATAACTTATTATTAATAAAAACAATATTTTTGTTTTTTTATCACAATTTTTATCTTTATATCTGTGAAAAAACAATTTCAATCATTACTCGAATTTAAATTACTTAAATTTGAACTAAAAATTACTTTTGTTTAAACTTTAAAGTTATTTTGTTTTGTTTAAAAGTAAAATAAGATTTAAATTTGGATGAAAGCCAATATATCTTATATCGAATCAAACTATAATTAATGTTTGATTAATTGAATTGAAGTAAACTTTTTTCATATTCATATATTGATATAGTTTTGCATACATTTTGTTAATTGATGTAATTTTGTGTAATTTAAATGGTATTTATTTCTAACATTCAATTCCCTAATACAGTAATAATTTTGCTGAAATTAAAATAATTTAAGCATTTTTTATGCAACAACTTCTAACTGTACGCTAATTTTAAGCAAACATTTCACTAATTACTGAATTTAATTGCAATTTCTAACTCAATTAGAATTTGATTTAAATTGTTATATAAACTAATTGTAATGTTTTGTGTTCACACAGGGAGGAGAGCGGGTGGGCTGGGAATACCAGAATGTGTCGCTCACTAGAGTTCCCGGATATGGATTCGGTATAGCCGTGAGTGGAGGTCGAGATAATCCTCACTTTATAAACGGCGAGCCATCGATTGCGATATCGGATGTGCTTAAAGCAGGTCCGGCCGAAGGGAAGCTACAGTTAGTATTAATACCCGATTATTGATTACTGTATAGAATACCACTTTTTTGTTGCTGCAGTTTATTGTAAATGATTTGCTTATGTTTTAATGACTTTTTATCGCCTGTCAAATAGGGTTAACGATAGAGTGATGAGCGCTAACGGCGTCTCCTTAGAGAACGTGGACTATACGACTGCAGTACAGGTTCTTCGCGAGTGTGGAAATACTGTCAACTTATTGATCAAAAGGAGAACTTTATTACCAAACAGTGATTTACTGAAAGTAACGCTCACTAAAAGCAACAAAAAAGACGGTTTGGCAACACTTTTTCGCCCCAATCCCTATCACTTGATTTTATTGACACTTGATTTTTGATGTTAATTCCAATGCAGACTTTGGAGTAGTTCTCGGCTGCAAATTCTTCATCAAAGAGATTACAAATCGTAATCTTATAGACAAGGAGTCATCCTTACAGGAGGGAGATATCATTGTTAAAGTAAGTGTTTCCACACTATAGGAGAATCGCATCCAATCATACAAAACACTTATTTGAAAATGTTATTTAAATCTTAGATAAACACAACGAGTCTCGAAAACTTGAACCTAAAAGAGGCCAAAAAGTTGATTGAAAACAGTAAAGAGAAATTGAATTTAGTTATAAATCGCGAACAAAACGCTAACAATAATCGTCAAAATGAGACAATTAATGGCTATTCAAATGGTCAGTCCAGATGGTCGACCGCCAATCTGTACGACAATGCTATGGCCATCAAAGATCAGACAACTTATGATAACATTGCCAATACTAATAGCCGAACCAATTGGAGTAATCAGAATGTCTACGTCCAGCCGCCCACCAGAGGTGACCCATCCATTCCCCTGCTCTTCAGTTACACTTATTCTCAATACTTTATTTGCAATTTCAGGAGATTTTGGACAAAATTCAGACGAAAAGAATAATCTATTAGTAATGCAATCACAGGGCGGACCTTCGGGACGGAATAGGGGACCCATATCTGACATATCACTGCAACAACTCGACCAACCGGCCACTCCTCTCCTCACCACTCATTCACGCGACCCGTCTCTGCCCAATGAGTCGGACCCTCCGCCGCGACCACCGCCTCCGCGACCCAACAACACCTATGACGACGACCCGCTGTCCCGTCGGAAGCAACAAATTGGTGTCATATGTGAGCCCCGTTTCATATCATTCCAAAAGGATGGAAGCGTTGGCATAAGACTTACCGGTGGTAATGAAGTGGGAATCTTTGTGACGGCTGTACAGCCGGGAAGTCCCGCGTCATTACAGGGCCTACAGTCGGGCGATAAGATTATTAAAGCCAACAATAAGGACATGAGAGGAGTGACACGAGAGGATGCGGTGCTCTTTCTCCTTAGTCTTCAGGAACAGATAGATCTTGTGGTCCAAAACCGAAAGGAGGAATACGATGAGATCGTTGCCAACCAAAAGGGAGACTCGTTTTATATTAGAGTTCACTTTACGTACGACAGCGCCGGCAAAGGAGAGTTGGCCTTCCATTTCGGCGAAGTGTTTCATGTGATCGACACTCTGTTCAACGGAGTGGTCGGTTCGTGGCTCGTCTATAGACTCGGCCGAAACAATCAGGAGATCCAAAAGGGATCGGTTCCCAATCGAAACAGAGCTGAAGAGTTGGCCGCAGAGCAGAGCACCGAAAAGGCCAAAAAGGCTGACACTTCGACAGAGAGAAGGGGAAGCTTTTTCAAGCGCCGGAGTGCGCGACGGTCTAAGTCTCTGAGCAAAGATCATTGGGAGGAAGTGGTGTTCGGCGACTGTAACTCAAAGTTTGCCGCCTATGAAAGAGTGGGACTAAAACATCCGGGTTTTATTCGGCCGGTCGTACTCTTTGGTCCGCTCGCAGACGTGGCGCGCGAGAAGCTCTTGAAAGACTATCCGGACAAATACGGGTTCCCACAACTCGACACTAATATGGAAGACGTGCCGAAGAGCTCCAAATTTAGCGGTATTGTGAGACTCAGTGCCATCCGTGAGGTCGTCGATAAGGGAAAGCACGCTCTGCTGGACATAACGCCCAGTGCTGTCGATCGTCTCAATTACGCCCAGTTTTATCCGATCGTAATCTTCATGAGAGCCGAAAACAAGTCTGTAGTGAAGGAAATGCGTTCGCGATCTTCGAAATCTATTCACAAGAGTTCGCGCAAACTCTACGAACACGCCGTCAAACTCGAGAAACACTGGTCTCACGTCTTCACGGCTACCGTCACTCTGACGAGTGCCGACATGTGGTATAAGAAACTCCGGGAAACTATTGACAAACAACAGCAGCAGACCATTTGGATCGCGGAATCCAAACCCGAGGAAGTGATTGGAGACGACTTCCTATTCCCGATGACATCGCGATTGAGTTACGCGTCGTCTCCTGAAAGTGATCTCGATTTGGCCAACGATTCACGGCTTGACAACGAAGACGATAACTCCCATCGTTTGGTCAAAGCGTCCAGCGATCCGAGTATTGCCACCGCAGACGACAATCCCATCGCAATGAATAGCTTCGGTTATCCTCCGCCTTACAGTCAACGGACGCCAAACAAACAGGTAATCAATTATTTCATTCAATATTTTCATTCATTTTATTCACCACTCATTCGCTCATCAAATCATTCATTCATTTATATTATTATAGCTTCCGCTTCACATTCTTCTAAGAAAGGTATGACTTCTTCGCATTTTATCATCAATTCATTGTTTTTCATATTTTAATCAATCATTTATTCATTCATTTTTAAATGATTTCTCAAATATTAAATAATTATATTTTAAATCTAAGGAATTGTCAAAAGCGTTGACAAATGAAGCGAAGTCTAAGTCTTCAGCACACACTTCAAACGCCAACCACTCGTCCGCTGCCATAAACGATACGGACAGAGATAGAGAAGACTATTTCGGTTCACCAAAAGATTCGTCCGCTTATAATACGCTAAAAGCGGGCGAAAGATATCCACCGCCCGGACCTTCAAACGAGAATATTTACGGCACAAAAGCACATACGGGTCCCGAACCGCCTCCAAGAGTAGATCGACTGAACAAACCGTCAAGATTTAGGAGCGCTCACGAGAGGCTCTTTGGCCGCCGGGAGTCGCGACGCGAGTCGTTCACTGCACCCGACTATATCAACACCACTACTCCGCCCACATCTGCCCCTCAGTCCCAGAAATGTGATTCATTGGACAGACCGGCGATGACTAACGGCAGGCATATTAGCGGTGCGTTTGGCGATAGTTCTTCATATAGTAGCGATTCGTATAACAAATACGGCAGTCCTTCGAGTACTCTCGACAACAAACAAAAGTATAACTCTATTTCATCCAACGGACGGCCGGCTCACGATCCCTACCGGTTTACAAGAAGTACAGCCATTCCCGGCCGTATGGATCCGTCCAATCCATTGAATCAAATGAACCAAATTAATCAAATGAATCAAATGAAACCTCAGAGTCCAGAAAGAGCTGCAAAACCCACGTCAACGCCAACTAAATATGTGGATCCGATCCAAAGCCGTCCGGTGCCTCCTTCACCACCTCCTAAACCGGCCAACAAATATCATTCGTTAGTTTTTAAAATGCAATTTAATGTCAATCTATTGTTTAAATGCAATTTACAAATACAAGTACTAAAAGTTATACTTTTAATCTTAACAGCCGAATGACTGACGGCCGACCCGTCCCACCGCCCAAACCATCCCATTATAACTCGAGGCCCTGGAGTAATGATAACGACGCGATCGACGCAAACATGAATCAAATGCCATCCAATTTGCAAACCAATGGTTTTGGTTATTCACCGGTATATCAACAGACAAAGCGCTCCACTCATCCCACTCTTGAATCCAATGGTCCGCCCGCTTACTACTCATCGATGCCATCGAAAGACTATCAGCCAAATATGAGAGCTCCTCCACCGCTGGCCAACGGCGCCAACAGTGAGGTCAATAACAATCTCTACGCCGAACAGTCTTCTTTCGGATCTCCCATCAGAAAGTGAGTCAACCATCGATTTATATTAATGCCATCTATTTATTAATTTGAAACATGAATTCAATGCTAAATAGGGGTCAGTATTCTGAGGCGGACGGCGGCGCCGGTTATATGTCATCAAAAGGCAATTACGAGATGCGATCGCCTTATAATTCGTTCGCCAAAAGCAATTCTTCGCCGATGAAAGACAATTACGCGACGAACGGGCCGTATCTCAACGTCCCGTATCCGCCAAAACACTCGCGCACCTCAACCTTCGCATCGCAGCCCTCACAACAACCACCGCCGCCGCCACCGGTGGCTCTTCAGCCGCCGCCCAGTATTCTTGATTTGTCCACAAATCGCGAACACAGAGGAAGCGCTTTCGAGCTCTACCGCAAACCCATCGACTCGACGAGTCGCTCAAATCTGCACACTTTCGGACACCACGGCCTTCCGCCCCCTCCGCCCCCTCTCATTAATAGTGAGCACAAGTAAGAGATAAGTCGAAACTCTTTCAGCCTTTCATTATTTTGTTGTATTTATTTAGTTATATTTGAAATCAATATTTAGTAATTATTATTTATATTATTTTAAATAATTAGTGTTTTTTAAGTTTCAATTATTTTTCACTTTATTTTAAAACGACTCAAAATCATAACTGACTCGTGAGTATTGAATGTAGTGGTCATGTAATGGATGCGGGAATTAGTGTTAATGAAATGTTTCCGATTTTATTAATATTTGAGTTTTTCTTAAATTATGGTTACATTGGATTACATTTATTCTCTTCTTTATCTCTCTTTTTAAAATATATAGAAAATACAGTTAATTACTGATTATTTTTATTATTAATTTTAAATATTTATTTAATTACTTAAATTAAGCTTGATAACATTAAATTCTAATAGAGTTAATCGTAATTATCTCGTATTAATACTCAATCTATAAAATCCGAGACATTTTATTTATATGACAGGGAAATGAATAAACAATTCTTCTAAAGAATTGTATACTTTTTATGATTTGTGCAATTATTTTGTTAATAAAAGTTTTGAAAGTAAATATTTGACTCAATATTTTAAGGATTGAAATATTTCGTGCAATTATATCAACTATTATTTCATTAATTTTATAACATATCTGATTAAAAATGCTTGAATTTATAGACAATATTCACGATAAAGGTTTTGACTTATTTATTAACGATTTCACTAAAATCCTATTCAATGCTCACATTTTTAAATTTATAATACAATTAATAATAATATTTATAATAATAATAATAAACTTATGATACAATCTATAGAATAAATTAATTATAAAATAATTGATTTGAAGATTACATTAGAATTAAGATTTTGGTTTTAATAAATATCTCAATGTTTTTTCATTAAAATGTAAAAATAAGCTCAATATATAAAATATATATAATTATATATAAAATTATTACTTGTTAATTATACTTAATTAAAATTAGTGGTGAGGTTTGGGCCAAAACAACAGTACTATCCGTAAATCAATTGTTTTTATGAACTATCCTGTAATAACTATTTTTGTGTATTAAGTAAAGTATATTTATTTAAATTCATTGATTAATCTCAAGCCAATCATCAAAATTAAGTTTTTATGTAAAGCATTATATTCTCAATTAATATCTTATTAAATTTTGATTTTGTGTCACATTTTGAGTTTTTATTTCATATTTAAAAATTAATAACTAATTCAAACGCTCACATTTGTAGCACTTTTTCTGATACTTTTAACTAACTATACACAGAGCACTCCTTAAGACTTCATTTTAATAACAATTTATTAATGAATTTTCGGTTTTTAAACGAATGTAATGAATGAAAAAATACTTCTAGAATATAATAGTTTGTGTTTTCAATGGCTTGAAATAACTTTAAAATTAAGTTTTGAATTTGTTTTCTAATTTTTCTATCGTTTCCAAATTCAATACTTTGTTTCCAATTATGAATGCAATGATAGTCTGGTGTTGGCTCTGATCCTTATGATAGTGTAATCAGTCTTTCGGTTATCGGCTATTCTTCTATATATCTCTCGGTATTTCTGGTTTAGCGATCGTTTGTCCACCTCTTCGGTCGACAGCAATCACACGGTTATTGCGGCCGCGAAGGGAGTGTTCACTAGTGATGGCGGGGTATTGACATCCGACGAAACGGGTGTCAGTGTTATAATACCCGTCGGCGCCATCCCTGAGGATACGGAGCAAGAGATCTATTTCAAGGTATGTCAGGACATGAAACTCGCGCCACCGCTCGACTCGGAAAAGGGTGAGACTTTGATGAGTCCGATAGTGATGTGCGGACCGCATGGCCTGCGCTTTGAAGTGCCCGTTGAGGTAATCACTTTCAAAACGCTGTGTTATGTATTGTTTTGTCATTGTTTTGATATGTAATTATAGTTACGACTCCCGCACTGCGCTTCTGTGAACCCCGAGGGCTGGGCTTTTGCTCTCAAGTCCAGCGATACAAACAATGGTAAGAGAAAATGGCATACAATTAGCGATTGATATTTAATTGAATATTTCATTTGAATAGGAGAGCCGTCTGAGTGGCAGAACGTAACCCTCGGCACCGATGATGGCATCACTTCTTCTAAGTTAGACAATCGATTTGTTTCCGTATTAGTCGATCACTTCTGAGTGGATCCGTAATTGAGAGATACATCTGTATTGTTATTGATATTATTTTCCCAAAAGTTATTTTTAAAAATTCATTAAATTTTAAAACTACGGTAATTCCTAAATAAATATATTTTAATGACTAAACGAATGCAATAATCAATCATAAAATATGATATAAATTGTTTGAATTGAAAGAAATTTCTATGAATTATTTAAAATCAACGCTTATTTATATAATAAACTAAGTTTTGTTCATAAAAATGATATAAATATATTAATTATAATTATATTACTAATAGTTATAATAAAATTCATTCACTTTGTATTTTGAAACTAATATTTATAAAATAAAGTTATAATAATGTTATTTAAGCAAAAGTTTGCATTTAATTAATTTCAGGGTAAGAATTGGTGTATAATATGTGATCATCAATGGATCAGTTAAGACAAGTGATTTAATTGTCAAATAATCTCGACTAACAATTGCACTGATATTTGGTATAAAGTTTTGAAAACTTTTCAAATAATGTTTGAAAACTCGTCAACAGATGAGAGACGCGTCGACTCTTGGGTTGAGTTTGTTATGAAAACAAACCATTGATTCACTCATTGAGTGATTTGTTTGACACATACTGTAGTGTTTGTGGACATCATTTGAACATCACTTTATCGGATCCCAAGTGAGACATCAGGTGTGGTGAGAAGCGATGTCGTCTTCGTCTGGATTCAGTTATTATGTGGTAATCGTTGGCCAATCAGATAATCCGATCTATGAGTTGGAGTACTCGACCAAAACGGGAGGCGAGAAGGGATCAGATCACAGATATCTGACACAATTCATAGCTCAGGCGGCGCTGGATTTGGTGGACGAGTATGTCTTCACCACAAACAACATGTATCTGAAATGTGTGGACAAATTCAACGAATGGTTTGTCACGGCTTTCGTCGGATCCAATCAAACGATTCGTTTCCTATTACTTCACTCCTCGCCGAAGATCGACGACAACAACATTAAGTCATTGTTTCACGACTTGTATGAGTTGTACACCAAGTTTGCGGTCAATCCTCTCTATCAACACCACTCGCAGATCAGATCCAATCTCTTCGACAAAAAGGCCCACTTATTGGCCAAAAAATATCTGCCGTAACGACTCGTGCGGAACCAATGAACCAATGATTGGTTTATTATTTATACCACGTTTTTATTTGATGGCAATGATTGATCATGCTCATCATGGCCAGTTTGTCATTTGCTGTTATATTATATGCTAATTATACTGTATATACACTTAAATGATTCATTAAAATAATTATATTTTAAGTTAAGTGTTGTTTCCTTTAATATAATTTCCTCATTGAGTCCACAATAACCACACATAAGAGCTGTTGAGTTGATTTCAATGCATTTATTAATAGTTTAATTAATTAAAAGACACTAAAAGGCAATTTTTGCTCTCTTTTTCAATGATTTATTTCTAATTTTAAAAACGATTTAAAAAATAATTTATAAAATGTTTGTAAGAAAGGGTCTAAAAGTTTCCTTTTTTGAGTCGTCCTAAGAATGGGCTGTGAAATGAGCCGAAGTAAAGGTCTCCCTCTTCATCGATGAGCACTTCAGTCACGCCATTGAATTTATCTGAGCCTAAGATCTGTTTGATTTGACCCGTCTTTCCGTCCAGTCTGATGGCTGATCCCGTTGTCGGCAAATACTTGCCCAGTGTTTGTCCGGTGTATAACTCAAATGCAATGCTTTTTAAACTATTGCTGCCAATAGTGTTATCATTGATGGCACTGATGGCCAGCGATAGCACATATGCGGTCCGACCGATGGCTTTGCGGATCAGCGGCCAAGTGCTCAGATAGTCAAACGTCACTTTCCCGTTATGTCTGACCGCAAACATTCCGACCGTTATATCGCCGTTTGGGTCGAGTCTTATGTTATCGGGTTCTCCGGGAAGTGTCGCAAAAGTCTCCCATTCATTATCAGTTAGTTTTCTATTAGCTTTGATTGCTTTGTGTATAGTTTGCAGCGAAATCTTTGAAATTTTAAAGCCTAACGTTTCGGCGGCTAAAAGGTATTTATTGTCAGCACTTATTTGAAGTCCATTTACAAATTTAAGTCCAGTCCTTAATATAGTGCTTCTCTTAGTGTCCAAATTATAGGCAAACACATAACCCGTTTCATCAGAATCTAATAATCCATATATAACTTGATTTAATTGCCATTTGGCGGTCATAATCGATACGTAAACTATATTCAGTTTGGGATCAAAAGCCAAATCGTCATAAAAGCCGTTAATTTCAGGATTCTTGAAGTCAATCAACTCTTTGGCACCAGTGGTCACATTCACGCGAAACAATCCGTTCACGTAATCGACTGCATACAAGTAGTTGTCTCTATGAAACCGAACCCCAAGAACTCGTCCGCAGTCAGCCATGTCTTCCTTTCCTGTAATTTTTCGTTTAAATTAAAATATATATAAAATTGTGAATATTTTTTGAAAATAATTACCGCATAAAAGTTTAGTCCCAAAACGTGCGATATCTCTGGTCTTAAGGGTCTTCTTATTAATCTCAACGAGTCGTCCGTCTGCGAGACCGGTATATATGAAGTCGTCTTTATTGGCCAGAGATTCGGGTCCGACGATCACACCGTTGAGCAAGAATTCACTTTTTTCGACCAACAAATTGTTCCAATTGTCCACTTTGTCCGGAATATTCAACACATGACTCTTCGGTTCCAACGGAAAGTTGACAAACAAATGGCTCGGAAGTAATGCCAATATTGTGGACAATATTAGTGTATATAATATGATATCAAACGCTGTTTTATATAAACGCGAGAATAAGTTCTTTATTTGAAAAGCCATTTTCAGTGTTCACTAAAAAGTAGTATTAATAGTATTAATAATATTAATAACTTTTTAGACAAACGTCTCGATCGGAGGATGTCTTAACACTAACTGTAAATATTTTAAAGTCAAATGAATTTTAATATATATTTGAAAGGAAAAACTGAGACAATAAATAGCAAATCCTTGAATTAATCAAAAGCCTTGAATTGACACTTTNAGACAAACGTCTCGATCGGAGGATGTCTTAACACTAACTGTAAATATTTTAAAGTCAAATGAATTTTAATATATATTTGAAAGGAAAAACTGAGACAATAAATAGCAAATCCTTGAATTAATCAAAAGCCTTGAATTGACACTTTTAGATAAGTGGACAACAAGTTTCTAAGTAAAGTACAGTATATAATAATTTGTAGACTAATAAAAGAGATGATAACGTGTACTAATAATAGGTTCAAATTAGTACTCGTTTTGATATTCAACAACTTTTGACACAAAAATAGTTATATAACTGATATCTCATAACTAGATAACAATCCTCATTGTCTGAAATTCACATTCCTTTGACCTCTATATCCAACACTTGTTTAATACAGACTCTGAATATATTTTAGATTTTGTAACAACAAAACTTGCATTTCAAATGTTTGCTTATGTTATGAAAAATCAATTGCATTTAATTTTAATAAATTCACTCTAAACTTGAAATCATAGGTTAATTGTTGTAAATATTATTTTGAATCACGTGTCAGGTATATAATGTACAAACTATATAATTAAATTTATTTATACAGTATTACTGCATAACATATTATTATGTTTGAATAACAAACTTAATTAGCAAATATTTGAACATGCTGTAAAAAACATAACATTTTAATAATTAATAATATTTTACTCCATATTCTATATAATATTGACATTCATTACTTCATTACTTTAAATATTATTTAATTTGATAGTTAAATATGAAATTCTTACATTAGATGAATTTTGGGTGATTAAGGTAATAATAATTTTACATTGATAATATTTGCTAACTATCAATGATAGTCTATCTGATAGACTTTATCATATAAAACTGTGTTATATTGCTATTTTTATTTTTCATAGAAAACATGTTTAAAAATACTTTTTTCTAACTTCATGTTTAGTTGTCGCGAAAATAATTTTAAAATTCAAATTAAATGTCATATTTTATAATAAAACAATAAATTTTAATATTATATTAAATTTAATTTTAAAATGTTAAAAATTTTAATTATAACAAGTTATAAACCAAAATACTGTATTCAACATTGCATTTCAACTTCACATTAATGACAATATTTTCCTTTAATTGAGTTTTGCTTGAAATTGACGACAATTTTTAATAATTAAAAACTCTATTCTGTAAACAAAATAAAACTCGTAACTAAAGACTTTAAAAGTACAGTATGTATTTAATATTGAAAATAATTGAATAATGAAATACTATATAATATTTGCTAAAAATGGCAAAATATTTGTAGAGGTTTGACTGTAATAATAATCTTAAATTAAGATTCTTAATATTGGCAGAATAAGTAATAAAAAATAAATATTGTGTTAATAAAAGTGTTAATAAAAACTTTTCATCTCCTAATTGATGGCTAATTTACTTACAATATAATTGGAGTGCATTGGATATCATTTTTACAAATTGCAAAATTGTCCTTAAACGTAAATTATAAAACTGTGCAGCTTAATCAGTTAAATTATTGAATATTTATTTAAAATATTATGTAATGTACTGTATTTAGGCGTTCAATTAATCTTGCGCATCGCGTTTTTGTTATATCTTTTAAAGTATAAGAGATAATTAGATTCTGTAAAAAGGATATAATAGAGCATGCGACGCAGAATTTTTACATACCCTATTGAGCAGTGTGGGTCACGTGGTATTCTAAATAACCTATACATTCCAAATCATTATGTTATATTTCAAAACATACGAGATATAAATATGGTTCCAATACAAAATTTATAAAGCGATAATGGCTGCGTACAAGGAAAAAAGAATTATTAAAATCGAGCAAGTACTTTAGGTTTTATGACCATAAATGTCATAATTTTGGGGGGAAATTGATAAAACATGAAAATTGTTTTTAGGAAATAAAATATTTTGACCAGTATAACGATGAATACTGGAACAATTATCACTACCCATAGGTTTAACATTGATTTAGGTATAACATAAGCCCATAATATTAGAATTCCCACAGACTTAATTTTCTTCATATATTTGACTGGCCCTGGGCCAAGTTAACATTAGTCCATAGGATTAACATTACAGAATACTTGACTTGCTTAAGTCATAAAACCTAAAGTACTTGCTCGATTCTAATAATTCCTTTTTCCTTGTACGCAGCCATTATCGCTTTATAAATTTTGTATTGGAACCATATTTATATCTCGTATGTTTTGAAAAATAACATAATGATTTGGAATGTATAGGTTATTTAGAATACCACGTGACCCACACTGCTCAATAGGGTATGTAAAAATTTTGCGTCGCATGCTCTATTATATCCTTTTTACAGAATCTAATTATCTCTTATACTTTAAAAGATATAACAAAAACGCGATGCGCAAGATTAATTGAACGCCTCATTAGATAATAATATACGTATAGACTCTATACTATAGAGTATGTACTATGGACCATAGTCTATGGTAAACTGAAGCCAAAATTCTTGTACTGCACTTAGATCTTACTCGTTAGAGTTATATTTACTAAATACTTACCCAGAATTGTGGCTAAATCCTGCTTGGATTTGCTTGCTTACATTGTTGAGACTATTTAAATATTTGTAAGCATACAGTACTAGAAAATTTCATTTAATGTGAGATTTAATTAAATGATTTTATTTGTTTACAAAGAAGTATACCCTTTGATAATGTTAGAAATGCCCATGGTGAATACAATTCACAAGAATCATAAATTGATACATTATCAATTACGTAAACAATGATAATTAACTTATTTGGTTATTTGTAAATTCATCATGGTATAATAATTTCTTAAACATATAATTTAATTTGATTGATTATTATTAAAATGTTATGACCATAATATAATATCAACGTTAGAGACCATGGTCCATTAACATTATTATTAATTGTTTTATTTCTCAGGTTTTGGTTTTTCGGTTGACTTTTGAGAAGTTTTCGATTTTGAAGTTTTAGATGTTTTGGTTTTAGAAGAAGTTTTGGTTTTTGGAGAAGTTTTGCTTTTCTTCTTAGTCTTTGATGTTTTAGACTTTGATTTTTTGCTTTTCGGCGGTTTTGGTGGGAAATCGTATCCGAGATCTGGGTTTTCATTCTTTGATTGTCCAAAATGTGGATTTTGCAGATCGAAAGCTTCGTATGGTTTATACTTTTTGGGCTTTGATTTCTTCGATGATTTCTCCTTATGATCGATGAGTTTCTTCTTCTCGTGTGTGAGAAGCGGTCGATGGAGTTGTTTGAGTCGACCCAATGTTACTTTGCCGATGAAGTTATTGCCATACG